GAGGGATGTTTGACCACTGGGGAGAATACTTCATCATATCAACCCTTCCTGTTGCGCAAAGCCTTTTGCCACTAATCTTGTTTTGTATCGCACACCAGCTTCGAGAGATCAATCCTTCTATGCATACACCCATTTGCACCCGATGAATTTCCTTCATGGAGAAAGCTTCACCAACCTACAATATTTTTCTTTCGATGAGACTCCATCTCTTCATCCATCGCCGCTCTCCAAAGATTGCAGTCTGCATTCTTCACTGCTTCTTTATAGTGATAAGAATTTTTCGTCTTTATGGCTGAAAGTGCAAATATAATGTGGTCCTTCAACCAAACTAGTTTTGGGACAATTTAGAGCCTAATCCTGCTCCTAACAATAGATTCTTGAGCAAGAATCTCAACCTCAGCATCTTCTTCCACCTTTTTCTAATAACTATCAACATATACCTCCTGAACTGCAACTAAATTAGATATCTGAGTCGAAGAGGACAAACTCTATGGAACAAAAGGAGTTGCATCAAACTCTAACTTCTGCTGCATATCTTTGGTCTAAGTAGAACACTCCACCTGCTTTGAGCCCCGGTTTTTCAACAAGCTTGTCTTGTCAAATGTAACAACCCTGCTAATGATAATCTTTCTTTCAGACGAATCATACAAATTGAAGCTCTTGACTCCACGCATAAAGTTGGTAAATATCGTCTTCTTTGCTCATGGTTTCAGTTTATCATTATGCACGTAGTAGTAAGTCAGACACTCAAACACTTTCATGTGCTCATAATCTCTAGTAGAATGTCTTGACCACATCTCCTTTGGGGTTTTCTTCCCAATAGTTGCAGAACGCAGACGGTTAACCAAGTGACAAGCATATTCTATGGCCTCGGCCAATAGATTCTGTCCAACCCAACATTGAATAACATACACCAAATTTTCTCCACTAAAGGCTGGTTCTTCTCTCTGCCACCATACTCTATTGTGGTGTCTCTCGAACAGTGAAGTGGTGATATATATCAGCTTTCTGGCACTCTTGCAAGAACTCATCCAAAGTGTATTCGCCCCAATTACCTAATCTGATACACCAGATCTTTTTACCAGTCTGAGTCTCAATCCACTTCTTCCATGATATTAAAATCTCCAGCACTTCGCTTTTGCGCTTCATGGTGTACACTCAAATATCGTGAGTAATCATCAATAAAAGAGACAAAATATGTGTGTTTGCTAAATGATATTATTTTCGTCGGGTCTCAAACATCTATGTGAACATACTAAAATACATTTTGTGTTGTGGATGATAGCCAAAAAAGAAGCCCGTGTCTTTTTGTCAAACAAACGATGCTCACAGAAATCAAGTTTGTAGGTACTCGCTCATTTAATCTATTATTTCTTCACCAAAGTCTAAAATGAAGCCTTTCCAGCATTAGCTAGTTGCATATGCACAACATAGTGGCATCAGAAGAATTATCAGCAATAGCAATCGTTCCAATCATTGTACTACCATGAAGATGGTAAAGGTTGTGATAACAAACTCCCTTCATAAAAACCATTACTTCACGATATATTCTCAAAACTCATGCCTCAATAAATATCTTGTAGCTTTTGAACTATAAAGTCCCAACTGAAACCAAATTCTTCCTGATATCAGGAACATTTTTGAAATCGATCGACTCTCTCACTGTACCATTATGCATCTTGATAAAGATGCTTCCTACACCAATAGTACAACAAGTTTGATCATTTCTCATAGTCACTACACCACTATCCAACTCCTTGTGCATACAGAACCACCCTTGATGAGGACAAATGTGATAAGAAACACATGTATCCAGATTCCAACATGAATCATATGTAAGCAAACTATGAGAAACTACATATTATGATACATATGAATTCGCCTATTGAATGATATTGGCTTTTGCCTCGGATACAACATTCATTCCCTTCTCCTTCAACTTCGAACAATTGTTCTTCCAATGATCACTCTCAAAATAGAAAGCACACTAATTCTTCCCAAGGTTGTGCCTATCAGACTTGCCTCGCTTTTGAGAAGTCACGTTGTTGCCTTCTATCTTTGACCATTCTTCTTATTCTCAGATCTGCACGTTGGAGTTTAAGTGTCTCAGCTAATGTCATCTTTGCAGACTCTGTCCCTTCGATGGAACTCATGATCAACCAGTGACGTAGTCACTTCACCATCATTCAAAACCTCATTCAAATGTTCATCAAAACAGGTGCCTTGTATTCATCTCCAACCTCTTCATCCAACTTTAACAAATTTGTCAACAACTTTGTGAAATCATTCAAATGTTCATCAATTGTAACCTCATGTCTCATCTGAAATCTTTAAAGTCGACCCATCAAATGTTAACCATTCCCCATGCTCTTCGTGAGATAGTTATTCTCCAACATCCTCCACAATTTCAATGCAGAGTCCCCATATTTGATTTTTTGGGTTAAACAATTTTGGACCAAGTCCTAAGCACTCATGTTCATCTTTAATCAATCTCTCTAACATCTCTTCAAGACATTCTCCGCTATCCAGAACTTCATCCAAATTCAAAGATCACAGAACATCCATTATATCGCATCGCCACATTTCAAATTTTTATTTGCTATCAAATTTTGTCACATTAATTTTGAAGAGATGTATAATCACTTGATGAATCAATTTCTCTACTATCAGTGTATCTTGAAGAATCTGATATCGTGCTATCAATTATTTCTGTCATTGTTAAAATTTCTTTCCTCAAAAAAATTCTTCTAAGAGAAGTATGGGAAAAAAAAACAAACAACAAATAAATAAAAGTTTACCTGAAAAAAATAAATTTTAAAAAATACAAACTTTTCTCTCTAAAATTCTATTTTTTTTCCTTTTTCCTTAAAATTCTTCAAAAAAAAAAAAATATTATTTATCTGTTAAAGAAATTTTCTAATCTTCCCTGGCGAGATGCTTCCCTGGCTAGATGCTTTCCGAAATTATTTGCTTTGTTTTGCCTTGCTTTCAAATTTTACTGTTACCCAAAACCCAAAGGAAAAGAAGATTCCTTCTTAAATCAAAAATTGCTTTTAAAAAAAGTTTTTTTTCATATACTTTTCTGTTATGTCAAGCTTCCCAAGCTCAGCTCGTGTTCGGCTCGTTTATATTTCAATCTCAAAAAGTGTGTTTATGTTTTAATTCGAATCTAATTTAATAAAATTTATTCTATTTTTTTAATTAATACTTTTAATTATTATTCATCAATTAATTTTTTTTTTAAATACAACTCATGAATATATATATATATATATATATATAAACAAACAAAAAAATCTTTGTTTGCATTTGGCTCATTATCTTAGCGAACGAGCCAATTAATGAGCAGTATTTCGAGCCAAAATGAGTCAAACATGTTCAGCTCATTATCTTAACGAACAAACCGAACACGAACTATTCGCAAACAAGTCATTTTGACAGCCCTACTGCCGACCTGATTCCACATACTCGCGATTTTTGTCTAACCTCGCTAGAAGAAGACATGAATCTTCGGACCATGTCGGAAACCGTTGTCTGACTACCAGACCGTCAGAACCACTATCAGAATTTTGCTACCACAATCTCACTTCAAACCGTGCACCAAATCTTTCCATCTGAACTGTCGATATGTCGTCGGAACTTCAGAATCTATCGACAAAGTGTGTCTAACCACCTCTACAAACACTCCGACAATACACACCAAATTTGCTTTTATCAAAGCCAACCCAAGCTCCGATCACGAACCGAATGCTCTGATAGCAATTGTTATGTAAAAATAATGCAAAATCATAGAAATTCACAAAACAACAATGAGACACAGAATATATGTGATTCAGCGTTGAATCGATTCCCCAACGTCCACCGGCAAGGAGATTTCACTAGCACCAAATGGAGAGAGAGAAAGACGGCTTCTGATTACAACTCGACACTTCTTAACATTATACATCTCTTTCTCATAAGCCCTAGACCACTTTTTATAACAGAGGACTAGATCATATAAAGAAATAAACAAAAAAAACAAATAATTAAAATAAAAGCATATAAATACAACATACAAATCAAAATTTTGGATCAAATTTTTTTTGGCGTCAATTTTGAGCCAACCCTAGCTTGGCTCGAAGTAGTTAATGGCCCTACATACCACCCAATTCTTATGTAATTATATTTCTAACAGCCGTACAAGCCGATTTGATTATGAATGCCTATAAAAAAAATTTGGTTGATAAAAATGTAAAAAGTAAAAATAAGATGTTAGATATGCAAATAAATAAAAAGTCAGCGGTTGAACAACGGCTATAAAAAAAATTATTAGAATCCATTGTCAGCACAAGTTTTGCTATTTTTATACATTTGTACATTTAACAAATCACATTTAAACAATTATCTTATTTGATGGTACTCAAATGGATGATAACTTGATTATATATATATATATATATATATATATATA